TTACAAAGCAGGTAGCTTTGTGTCTTGTATGAATGTGCTGGGCGCTGTCCTAGAATTTTCGAAGCACGGGATGCTTTGCCTCAGTTAATCTCTAGTTCACTCTTAATCATTTCCTAACTCATTTTTAGTTTTCCTTGATATATTACTTAACACAGTTCACTTATTCCAACAGAAATGTAGTTATGGGAATTAATGCTCAGCTCATAGAGGAAGAGCCAAAGAAGTAGAAAACAGTTCTGGTTTAACACAACCTTTTTGGTCCAACGGAGTCACTGTTACGTCCTCTTTATGATCAGATGGAGAATTTGAAATGGAATTAAAAAATTCACAGGGAAATTCATAGGAAAATCATAGGAACGCACTGCCATGCATGTTACGGGACTCTTCCTGTTCTGAGAGCAGCTAGCAGACAGACTTTGCCAAGCCATCTGAACCAAATAACCTCCCCCAAAAGGGGGTGCAACTGTTTAGCAGATGAGATATTCCAAATACGGTTTTACCCCAAGTTCCTTCTTCCTCGCCACGACCTGGAGGAGCCTGAGGAGGTGGTGCTGTTCGGCTTGGTGCAGCTGGGCCAGCAGGGCCACCAGCTCCCTCAGATGGAGGTTTATCGGCTGCGGCTGCTTCTCGTACAGGGAAGGCAGGACACGGAGCAGCATCGAGTTCCCTGAGAACAGAGCAAAGGAGAGGCCGGTGACTCAGTGTATGTCAGTGCCCCACAGGCAGGGAGCACCCTAGAAAATCAGCACACGCCTGGAGACATCAGTTTTTAAGAATCATAAGCACAGAACCAGGGAGGTGTAAAATTCACTGCAGGAAATCATGTACCGTGCCAAGAAGCCCAATAAATTATCTGAATAGAATGAATTATTGCAGGTATAACAATGTACATGTAAAAAAAAGGATTTCCTATCTATTATAATTTTCATTCTCAAGCACAATACCATGAGAAGGCCACTTAACGAGCTTTCAGATTTGGATGATAAACTGGTCTAGGGCTCCACAGCCTAAGTGTGATTTAAATTAATAATTAAAAAAAGCTAGAAAGCACATAAAAGCTCTATTTCTCCTTTGTTGAGATTAAGGCTTTCAAATTAAGTAACCAGCATATGGAAAGAATAGTTAGCTATTAAGAGAACTAAATGTGCATGACAGTAAATTTGAACATAAATAGTTAAGGATGCCATTTCCAGGAATAGAAAGAAGCCAGAGAGAGTCAACTGCAGACAGACACAGATATGCAAAACCCTCTCTCACACATTTTCTTAAGATGTCTGTGCATAATTCAATTTGAAGCCCAGGCTCATACCAAAATATATAACTTCACATCGCTGTACATGCCTGCCTCAATATATTTAAGTTTCACTTGAACAACATATGGAAAACATCTGCCTATTGCAGTGCAGTATGGCTTCTTTTTGTAAACCCTTGAAAGTCCTTAAGGTCTCTTCGGATTTGGTTTCCAAGAGGAACTAGCACTCTGGCCTGCTGCTTTTTCTCCCACTTAAATCCAAGCCTTATAATTTTGGAAGATAAGCAGGTCAGTTCACGGATGGTAGAAAGAGGATACACGGGTCAGCCTTGATCGCATCGTGCTCCTGCCAGATACAGAAAGAGCAGCCCACAACACTGTTAGGTCTTACAACATCGCCCCTGAGGCAAGTAACTAAAATGAAACTCATTGCAGACTCGAAACTTTTAGGCAAAGCAGCCTGTAACGATCCTTAAGGGGTCCTTATGCTTTGGAGGAGTGCCTCCACACTGTTTATCCAGCCTCACTTCTGCATCCTCCCCTGAAGCATTTATTCTGCTGGAAGAGTTGTTGGCTTCTTCCCGAAGGCAGGGCTAACAACGAGGTTCAGACCCCACCTCAATTCCCGTGGATATGAAGAATTTGTCTTGTTCTGTTCAACAAACAAAGCACAAAGGCCAGTTGCAGACGAAGGATATTTGCTGATGGATTACCCCACACAGATCAGCAAACAGCTCAGCTCTGGCCTCTTTCTATCCACACCTTTGTGCACATCTCCTCCTGATGCTACCAGTCTGGAAAAGAATTGAGGGGCACAAGAGCCACTAACTTAGCAGGGGACTCATGCTCCTAAGTCACAGAGGTTCTTTTGAAACTGCCTTTGACCTGCACAAGCAGCTGATAAATTTTATTTCGTAATTTTTAAACTAACCAGGATGGCAGCGGCAGCTGAGCACCAGGGAAGGCAGTGGTTGTGAGGAGTGCAGTTAAACACAGCCATAAAAGCACCGATTTGCCCATTGCTAAAACTAAAATGTTGAGATCGATTTACTTGAAGTTTTCTAGACTCACATCTGAGTTTGAAATTGAACAATCTTGTAACCAAATGTACTGAAAAATTTCTTGTTCTCTGGATAATTTTGTGCTTCCTGAGTTAAGCCCTTGCTTTGTACTTGTGCATGTTTAGTTTCCACTGGAAGCTTCCTGCCCATGCGGAACAGACCCCTTAAGCTCCAGTCAAATTTTCAGCAGTGGTAAAAGATGAAATTTCCTTGTTCCCGGACAGGCAAAATTCTTGGTTGTAAATTGTGGAGGGAAATGATTCAACAGAAAAAAACCAAAAAGTAGCAGCTCTACATGAGGAAAGACAGCAGCTAGCCTGAGCTTCACCATTGCCTAAGCCAGAATATCACAGGCAGGAAGATATCTGGAAGGTAGGACCAATTATTCACCATCAGAAAACCACCATTTTAAGCATCGGACGCATTAGAGGAGGCGGTGTAATTTGCCATGACATGATGGACTGCAGTTATGAAATACTTTGAACAGAAATACTTTGTACAGAAGTAAATTTGGGCAGCTCATCCAGTCACCATGCAGCAAACATTACTGCCTTTATATTCACTAACCAGGATAAATTAAAAAAAAAAGGGGCAAATTAGAAGCTAGCCCATCACTTTGGAGCGATGTTTAAGTGACCTCACTGACACAGATTCCTTTTTAATTGAACAACCCCCGTACACCAACCTGTAAACCATCCAAGCAGACACCACAGTTTGTGTCTGTTCTTCATATAACATAGAAAGGGTCATAAAGCATGCCCCAATTCACTACTTTCTCCTGTTTGCATGTTGCCAGCCAGCTCTGAGCACCATTTGCCGTGCCTTCCCAGTTTCTAAGCAATTTCCCCTCGTGCAGCTCACCAACCTTTTGCATTCTCAGAGCCTGGCTGTGGCGATGCTCTGCCCACTCCCAACTAATTCACTTTGCTCCATCCTGCTTCATCTCTCTCCGCCTAAACCAAGAGCCTGAAAAGCACATTTGCCGTCCGAGGATGGAAAAACATTATCCTCAGCTCCTTAATTACCTTCTCTCCCTCTTCCTTCCTTACCACCCTTATCCCCAATGCTTTCCAGATTAGACTTGCTCAGGCCGTTCCAAGCAGACCACACACTGGGAATTATGCAACTCAGGCAGAAGCCTACGTACAGTTGGGGACATCCCATGGCTGAGCCGGGCTGGCTGCGAGTCAGGCAGGGCAGAGGCACGGCCAGCAGCAGCAGCCACAATGCCACGACCACGCTGCACACACGTTGGCCGATCCCCTGCGTGCACAAGGAGTGGCAAAGGTGTCCACGTGCTCTGTCCCAGCTCTGCCCCATCCACGGCTGATCCCAGAAGCACTGTGGAAATGAGGCTGGTGGTGCTGTGTGGATGTACAGCCCTGTTCTGGTCTTCACTCCAGGAATACTCTGGGAAAAGTGCGTGCCCCAAGAGCACTGCTTTCCCTGGGTGTCCCAAGCTGGGCAGAGAACTCTGCAAGTGTTCACCTCTACTTTGCCAAACCTTTGCAGGACAGAGCTACCTGTCACACTGCGGAACAGCCAGACGTGTGGCTGCAGAGGAAAAGCAGCACAACACAGCCAGCAGCATGGGGAGCTCGGCATCATGCTCAGCAGTGCCGGTACCAGACGTGTGCTGAGGCCATGCACAGCTCCGTGCTACCTCCCTGTGTCTCCTGCCCCTGAACAGAAGCCCCGGTGATGGAGCAGGGCGAGGAAGCTGTGTAGGGGAGAGTGGAGCCCTCCCTGCCACCGCTGTGTGCAGCGCTGAGGGGCTGGGCCTGGGGGTCCCAAGCAGAAAGGGAACAGACTGCACGCTGAGTGTGGTTATCTGGGGTTTTTCCCCCCAGTTTCCTAAATATTTGTAACTTCTGCCATCAGTATGCTACCCTTACTCTCAATTCTGAAATAATCAAGGGCCCGTTAAGCTGATAAACTTTCCAGAGCTTAAGTGAGTCACCACCACCACCACCACCGCTTGTCACTGGATTAACATCTAACCCACGAGCCCCTTGTTTTGTTGTTTCCAAGTGAAGAGCAACAGCTCTCATCCTGCAGCTGCTAACCTACGGGCTCCTGAAACAAGATCCTAGCAGCAATGCCTGATCACCAGTTACAAAGCTGTTACTGGTAATTAGGACTAGAAAAGCAAAACCCCAGCAAGCTGCCTTTAGTTTTTTCACAAGTTCTCCTTTGTTGTTTAAGGCAGCAAACTACCAGTATAATAGAAGCTTTTAAATAAAAAAATATTTTAAAAAAGTGCTACAAGATCTAGGTGAAACCGTACGTGTGCATCTAAACCAGTTGCAGACCTATTTATTTCTCGACCAGTCCCCTCCAGAGCCCTGGCACACACCAGCCGCCAAATGAGTTTGCAGAGAACATTTTCCTTCCCACAAAGGACACACAATGGCACGAGCGATGCAGCCTGGGCTTTTAGGCAGCAATCTGAGTGATTTCATCCCCCGCTCTCAGCCTCGCTTCGCTGCACGTTCCGGCAGCCTGCTCTCGGAGGGGAAGCGGCAGCTCGCAAGAGCAGCTTTCCCCGTTCCTTCCCCTCCATGAGGCAGCCCTTCTCCCCCCAGCGCAAACCTGGAAGGCTGAGATTGAGCAAGCTGCACGCCCCCTTCGCCTCGCCGCCAAAACCAACAACCAGAAGTGCTCTTATTACAACACTGGCACTAGCATCGCTCATTCATTCAGGCTGAGACACTCGGAGCATTTATTAGGGGCTCGCCGCGGCTCACTCGCAGTCTCGTCTCCGCTGAAGTCTGACTTGGACTTTAGCTCCAGACAGCTCAGCTATTTTCAGGAAGCAGCTGGAGAATGCTGCCTCAAGGAGTGCTTTCTCTGCTCACGCTGTTCTGTGTTTTCAGGGCTTCTGTCTCTGTCCTGGATGAAGATGACGACTATGATCTCATGTATGTGAATCTGGATAATGAAATCGAAGGTCCGGTTCTTGGGACTGAGGAAAGTAAGTAGATTAAGTAGATTTAAACTAAATTTCTCTTAAGTGCAGTATTGCATTCTTTGTTGCTTGCTCTTGTACCAATTGTTACAAAAATTTATTCATTGTAAGAGGAAGAAGCGTGTGCTCATACCAGTACATTATTGCGAACAGCAAGCGCTACAGTACTTGGTTAGCGTGCCTTGGAAGTTTGCTTCACACTATTGTTCCCGTTTTCCTGCAGAAGAGTGGGGTTGACAGTTTCAGAACTGCTCTGATACACACTGCTTTACCTTCCCATTTTGATCATAGAAGGAAATGAACTGGCAGACTGGAGCTCATAAGCCCCGTACAGAGCCAGGTTTTGTTAAATACCCCTCCTGTTTAAAACCCTAAGTGCATCTGCATCTTGCATTCCAGCTTCGTGTGACTGCCAGCGAGAGCACACCGAGTGGGACAAGCTCTTCATCATGCTCGAGAACTCGCAGATGAAGGAGAACATGATGCTGCAGACCATGGACGACATCCTGAAGGTGGACCTGCAGACGCTCAGAGCAGAGCTGAGCCAGCTCGCTGCCAGCCTCGCCGGCACCTTCAGCGCTGCGGTCGAGAAAGTCACTTCCCACGTCATCTCCCAGGTAGAGCAGGCGCTTGTGAGGAGCAGTGACCACGGTGAAGAAGCCAAGGGGCTTCATGAGTCCCAGCAAGGAAAGGTCCTCGAGCACGTTCTGCTCCTGAGCCACAACGTGTCCAACAGGCTCAGCCGCCTGGAGAGCGCTTGCCTGAGAAGGTCTGAGGCGGAGGCTCAAGAAACAGCTTTTCAGCAGGACAAACTCAGTCCCACCAGAGAAGACAACCTCATTTTGACCTCCCTGTGGAAAGAGCTACAGCAGATGAGAGCCGAACTGAAGGCATCGCAGAAATGGGCAGCTCGGCACTTGCTGCCAGCGGGTAAGTCCACACACGTTATTCTTTCCTAGCGAGCTCTTTGGTTGGGCTGTCAACGCGGACATGCTATAAACACTGACCTCCACACAGGACTCCAAAGCAATCTTATGGGTAGCCCAGAAGCTCTGGGCAGTCTGCAGATAGAGGGAGGAAACCCAGTAAGGGCTCTTGAAAAAAAGAGGCGTTGAGCTTTTCAAAGGAGGGATCAAAGCAGGGTTTAATCAAAGTCCTAGCACAGGGCAAAGCAGCCACCCAGCTAGGATCCCACCTCCTGGAGGCTCTCCTAGATCAAAGCAGCTGCCGTAGAGCAAACATATTTTAAATACACAGAATATATTCTCTTACCTTTTACCTTCCCAGCTGGTAACTCCCACATACACTCGCTAGTCACTAATGCTCCTGTCCTGCTGCATGTACCCAACTCCTCCTTCCTCCTGAGCTAAGCGCTGCCTCCTCCTCACCAACCCTGATGCCCAAGAGCAGAGCCAGGGCAGAGGACGTGCTGCTGGGGACAACCAGCCCCAGCCACGCAGTGCTTCCTGCAGCAGGGAGGGCACGTTCACTGCACCCAGCTGTCAGGACTGAATGCCTTCCCCAAGCACGAGAGCCTGCAGGTAACACAGCACGACTGACACGCTGAGTTTTTCTTTCTAAAACGTTGGTATTGGTGTGCAAGTGGAGGTAGCCATAGAAAGATGAGCTCGTATCTCAAAACTCATTGCAGTTTTTCTGTGCACTGTAACGTGTCACCCAGCAGAAGCAGCTCGAGCACCTTGGGTACAGCAGAGCAAACCCTTACCTAAAGGGTGTGGGTGCAAAGTTGCTGCATGCACAGCACAACCATGTTGGATGCAACTCTGCCTACTCGATAACTGGTGCTGCATGTTTTCTAAATGCTGGCATATCTTTAATGATCACATTTTCCAAACAAAAGTATTATGGTAGCATAGAGAACCCAAAACACAAAGCAACCTACACTCACAGAACCCCACACGTGTGAATAGGGAGCTGGGTGGTTCACCAGCCTTGGCAGGGAGCCCCGAGCAATGCCACCAGCGTGAGCTCTTACACAGGTGAGCAAAGGGTGTGAGCAAAGGGTGTGAGCAAAGGGTGTGAGCAAAGGGTGTGAGCAAAGTGTGCTTCTGGCAGCTGCAAAAACCACCATCAATTTACACGAGTCTATTACGCTGCAAACACAACATAACAATACTTTATAACAAAGCATTTTGCAATCCAACAAATCTATCCTTTATCGGAGAACATTAATTCAGCTTTGTAAGTAACTTGCTTTTACTTCTTCACTGTAATATTTTGGTAATCTGCACGTCCTGGTAGTAGCTCTTACAGCATATTCCTCCTCCCCGCCCTCCCCCAACACACGAATCTCGCCTTCCAAAAAGCATGAGCTCACCCTTTATCTCCCTGTAACACCGCCAGCCTTGCAGTCAGTTACTGTGCGCTGGGTGAGAGTGAAAAAACTCGCTCAGCTTTAAAGATCCCAGACTCAGCACTGGAAATTCAAAGTACTTCCACTAGTTCCTGCATGATTTTATAGAGAGCGTTTTGTATTTTTTTTTTTCCTTTCTTAATTTAAAAGACACATTTTAAGTACTTCCAGGGTCTCCCTCCCTGGATATTTTTTTTTTTCAAGGGAATTTTTAGCAACTGACTTTAATTTCTCCCATCTTGAATTACTGCCAGACACTCTTGAGGGATTTTCAAATCACACTTTTTGTTCTTCAGCGAGGCTGTTTTTAATTTTGTTTACTCCTTGACAATAAAGCCAGAAAGCTTGCTCATTAAAAGCCATTTCACAATAGCATTCATAAGTAGCATTTTAAGGAGCATCCCCAACAGTTGCTTGCTGCCCCTCAACTCTCTCAAAAAAAAAACCCACGAAGAAATGTAAAATCCGCCCAAAGTTTAAAGGAAGCAGTCTATGAAATAACACAGCAGCACTATCCAGAAGGACACAAAGAGTCCTTCATGCACTGAAGCTGAAGTTTCCACACACATTTTAGACGTTTTAGATCCTCTAGCTTGTTTAAACAGGAAACGAAGCAGCTTAATTATAGAAGGGGGCTGCTTTTCCCCCTCTGGCTTGGAGTACTGAGTTGTACCTAAGGACCAGGGAACAGCACGTTAGAATGCCAAGAATGTCTTGTGTTTAGTAATCGTCAGATACTTCTCTAATTGCCACGAATTCCTGTTAATAGCTTTAATAACCTAGTTTCTATTGCAACGTATTGATAAATTGGAGAGGGGAGGGGAACTGCTTTAAAAATACTAACTAGTGGGAACATGAGAAACACCGAACCAGTGCATGAGTTACCAACAGCTCTAAAGGCAGGGTCAGAAAAGGTATTGATAAAAAATTCAGAAATACATCTCAGCATGCTTCTGCCGACACTCCCTGCTCGTGCTTTCCAGCTGCCCGTCCCACTGGGCTGCTGGAGGATGCTGCCTGAGACCAGTTGCAGGAAATCGCGGGGACAGAGGCACGCGTTGGCAAGGGACAGGGGAACCAGCCGGGATCTGAGACTGCTCTCAAGTAACTTACTTAGTGCAAGATCCTATTTGTAGTTAATCCGGCATGAATCCCCCCAGGTGCTAGTTGTGCAGCCCTGGGTTCAGGGCTGGCTCAGGAAGGCACATTTTTAACTGGTGCTGTTATGGGGCAGCAACACCAACAAACAGCCCGTGCTGCTCCGAGCGCAGCGAGCTGGCAGGGCTCCTGGCGTCACATCACAGCCCCGATAACTGATGACATTTCCTGAGCCAGCAACAGGACATACGAGATCAAGCCTTGCCTTCTGAAGTGAGCCTAAATATAGGCACTGAAACACCATCAGAAATCCGACAGGCAACGCGTCAGCGCATCCGTTCGTCCCCTGGGCCTGAGGTGCCCCAGTTTGGATGCAGGGCTGCGGTGACAGGGCTTCCCCAGGGCCATGCTCAGCTCCTGGTGGGCACTGTTCCAGCGTATTGCGTTGCACAGGACGGACATACCGAGCCCTGCTGGTACTCGGAAGGCCGTCATCAGGTATCCAGCCCAGCAGGACACGCTGCAGCTGCTGGTGACGCAGCTCTCCGGTGGCTCTGTGCCACCAGCCCCGGCAGCATTTCACACTGCTATCCCAGGAAAGTCACAGGACGTAAAACTTCCAGGCTGGTAGATTGGCAAACCCATCCCTTTACCGTAACATGGCCAGGACAGGCAGGTTGTGTTAAAACTAAATGATATTTTGTGTGCTACAGGCCAGCAACGTGCTTTTACAGAGAAGGGAAGGTTGGGTCTTGTTAAAGCAGCACGATTAGCCCTTCAGGATGGCTCATTGCCATACCAAGGGCTAAGCAAATTCATTCATCAGAGCTGCTACCTTCCTCAAAGCACCCCGTAAGCGGGTCCCTACATCCCACAGGATGAGCAAAACCCACAGCTCCCTCTGAAAAGTTCAGGGGTGAGCATACGCCAAGGGTCCTAACCGTGCCCATACAAACCTTTACTTACATAATCTTTCTAATTTACTTTTTCAGGCTGCGAAACAGCAATTCTATTCCCAATGCGTTCAAAAAAGATCTTCGGGAGCGTTCATCCAACCGCTGAGATGACCCTCCGCTCCTTCACTGCTTGCATCTGGATCAAAGTGACTGAGGTTTTGGACAAAACTATTGTCTTCTCCTACGGAACCAAGAAAAATCCGTATGAAATTCAGCTTTATCTCAGCCGTGAGTCTGCAGTGCTTGCTGTAGGTAGTGACCAGCACAAGTTAGTGGTCAAAAATGTAATTGTTCCTGGGAAGTGGATCCATCTCTGTGGCGCCTGGAGCTCAGACAACGGGACTGTGTCCCTGTGGGTGAACGGAGAGCTCGCGGGCACTGCCGCGGGCGTTGCTGACGCTCACACTGTTCCAGACGGAGGAATTCTGCAGATCGGTCAGGAGAAGAATGGCTGCTGTGTTGGAGGTGGATTTGATGAAGCTTTAGCCTTCTCAGGAAAATTAACAGGCTTTAACCTGTGGGACAGAGTGCTCAGCACCGAAGAGATAGCAGCGCAGAGCGGGGAAGATGCGTGCAGTATCAGGGGCAACATCATCGGGTGGGGAGTCACAGAAGTGCTGCCATACGGGGGAGCTCAGTATGTTTCTTAAACTCTTGTAAAGCAGTTTCTGAAGCAGAGAACGTATTCCATTAAGAGCAGAATGCCAATGCATACAATACACAGAGCTGAAAGAGCCTGCACCTCCCAACCTCCCAAGGAAGATTAGCACTGCAAGTTTACAGAATGAGGTACTGTGGAGATGGGATTTGATCTCTGCCTGCTGTTTTGGCAAAACACTGAAAATAATACATCAAGGCTTGACATTGGAAAAGCTATTCATGAGGTCAGACGACCGCTGTCTCTCTAGCTTACGTATAAAAATGAGTGCCACTGTGGCCTGAGCAGAACCGGACTCCTGCAGTTCCTGCTAAGCTCCTGCACGTCTCCGCAGAACAGATGCAAAGCCACACATCTTCCAGGCTTCTCCAGTCGCTGGTTTGCAGAGTGCTCATGTCAATTGTGCAGAGGAACCACAAAAGCCAAGAAGCGTGTTGTTTATTAAGTGTTGTTAGTAATTTGTAGACTACAATAAAACTAGCTTCTTGTTTAAAGCTTTATTTAATGCCACGGATTGACCTAACGTATAAAAGTAATATTCACCATCATAATCCGATGTTACATTTTGAGAAAACGCAGCTGTATTATACTGTAAATTGACTTTGTAATAATTTTATTGAAATTATTTTTGTAAAGTTGTTCTGTAAATAAAGATACTTTACTAAACTAAGATTTTCCATGGCATTCCATCAACTGGAACTCTTGAAATAAATAGAGAATCTCTTGAAATAAATAGAAAATGGGATTTTTTCCATGTTGGTAACCACTCCGTTTTAGTTGCTAATAGAGAGAAACACAAATATTAACATCTCACACAAATGGAGAGACCTTCCCCTCAGAGGAATGACCTCCAAGCACTTGGCCAAGACAGCTTTACTGGTCTGTCATGGTAACAAGCCCCCCGTGGACACTGGCACGTGGAGGGATCTGCTGCTCCAGCAGCTCTCCATCGTGGCCAGGGCTGCTCGTACAGGAGGGACGCTGACACTGATAAATGCACAGCAACCTGAGGGGATTCCTCACTGTTTGCTGAAGCCTCTGAACAAGTTATTTTGGCAAATGTCTTATTCAAAGCAATTCTTGCTTTCACTGGAAACAGCACACCTTTCTGCTCTACTCACATTTGTTTCTCACTCTACAGATGTCTTACGGACACGCTCTGAAAAGTTGCTGCTATGTTCATTCCCAAACACAACGCAGCTACCAAATCCTTCCTTCCGCAACACAGAAGTAGTAAGAAAAAAGCTATGACAAGGTAATTTCCACTTGACTACGCCATTCAAGGGTTTGACATTCAAGGTAGTGCATTGAAGCTGAAGTTACACAATCTGCTTCAACATTTTGGCAACGCTGTGTATTTAAGGCAAAACTAACTTCTCAGAAGGCTGGAATTTCTCCTACCACTTGCAATAAAAATGTAAAAAGCCCTTACTAAATAATAACTTCAAATATCCTGAAGTACAGAACAACGAAAGGTTACCTCTGTTCATCTGATGTCAGCCAGAAAACACATCTTCAGAGTTAAGAAAAGCACTCTACTTCCCAACATTGTGCAAGCGCAAAAATACTCTCAAATCCTCTTTCCATACACTGCCATCCATTAAATGAAAACAAATGTCCGTGAAATATAGCAGAACAAGCGAAATCCTCAAAAAGATTACCGAAAGTCATTCCTGGCTGCTTTTCTTTACTGTTCCTCATACCTGAAATGCTTTGTCTTGCAAGTATCCTTTTGCTATCTCCGCACTGGTCTGGCAGATTCCCAAACGCAAAGCCAGTCCTCGCCTTCTCATCGGCTCAGCTGGAACACCCTCCTCTTTCCAACCGCTTTTCTTTCCCTTTCTAACCTCCACAAGCAAGCAGAGCTTTCCCACGGCCAGTCCCCTCCCGCCCGGTACGAGGCACCTCCACCACCATGCTTCTCTTCCCTTCGGCGCTGAACTACATTTTTCTTTGTTAACAGTTCCTTGGCCTGTTTCAAAGACACGGAGTAAGAGGTATCTGGGGGGAGTTTGGTCTCCAAATACAGAAGAGCCACTGCGATCCTGCTCCTGCACTGAGAACAAACTCAAAGAGTGAGTCCCATAACCTGGCATGTGGTGCTGAGTTTAGACCTGCTCTGTAGCCAGCCTCTGCCCAGCCCAGCAGCACGTGCACGCTGCCCCAGCTCCCCCAGAAGACAGAGCAGCAGTGGGACCCTCAGATAACCATATGCTGGTTCTGCTGCCGTCCCCTGGAAGCAGGAATAAGGCTGCCTGGTCCCTTATCCTGATGGAAGGTGCCAGCACGCGGCCTGTCAGCATCACGCGCACGGCACAGACACACACGTGCTTAGAGGCTGAGTTCACGCTGAACAGAACAGAGTAGTTACATGCTCACTCTAAAGAGCTCTCTTAACTAGGACGATAAGAAACTGATTGTGCAGCCAAGCAGTTGCCCCAAGTAGCCAAAAACCCAGTCAGCTCTCAAACACTCGCAGGCAGCAGACCAAAGCCTGCTATCAGTCTCGCTGGTGCCACTAGGCTGCGCCCAGTCTGTGCAGCACCAGAACAAGGCCCTTTGTCTCTGCACTGCTTCGTTAAGCCATCTTTAACACCCTCTTGCTTCCCTTCTCAAACAGCTTCTACCCGTGGTTCTTAGCCAACCTTTTCATGCCTGAACCACAAACTGTGTACGGTGCCGTGCAGCCGGTATGCAGAGCAGAGCACTGTGCCTACGCAGAGTACTCTCCTCCAATCTGCAATTTCCATCTCTGATGTCCACAGCAACATCTGCTGGTGGAATAATATAAATGCATGAAAACCAGCAGGCACAGTCAAATCCTTCAGTTGTGGGCGTTTGTCACTCTTTTCCTAAACTTATGAGTGTGCCCCAAAACTTGTGTCACTTCATCTTGCTGTTCATAGCGCCCTGCTTCCCCAGCAACATACAGCAAGCACATACATACCCATGTCTCAAGTCTTAAATGAATTATCCACGTGGCTTTGTAAGTTGTTAAAAAAATCCTATTCTCGGACTACTCTATTAGTATAATCTACTGTCTTAGTATGATCACACAGCTCATACATACTTCTTTCTTTTTATCATTTATCACATTTATCCTTAAACAAGTTAGACAGAAATAAGCAAACTCTTAGTATAGTGTTTTAAGGGCCAAGTTACCTTCTAGCTCAGGGTATCCCTCCACATAATACCAAAAAATAACTAGCACCATTTTTTATTTTTAAAATAATGCACAAATTTAGTTCAAGGGCTTAATATTTTCATAATATTCACGGCATAATTAGACAGCTATTGGTACTCATTGCTATTACCTGTGCTTGAGAAAACAGTGACTTTACTGCTGCAGTAGCACTATATTGCAACGAATACTGTGAACTTTACTACCTCAGACAAAACGGACTTACTTTTGCAGAGGTATGAATATTTTTGGTTTCTTTTTAAACCACAAAATTTACGGAGTTTAGCAACAAAACTGTCTAAAACTACTGATGTAGGCAAGACTAAAGCATCACCATAAAGCTTTTATATCTTACATCTGCCTACTTTGCCACAGAACGGGATTCATTTCATCCTCATTTATATTTTGGAGGATTGCCAATGACACTAATAGAAAGGATAAGAGCCCCGTAACTAGTGTCTCCTAGCACAGCTTATTATTTGAAGTCCATTAGTACAGTGCAATAACAACTACAGATATATTTCCTGCCCCACGGGTCATCCAATCTGCAATGAATCTTCCGCAGTCAACAAGGTTCATTAAATTCACATAGTCTTAGAAGGTGTTCCTTGATGCACTCTGTTATTTTAGATTGCATCTGATATATTTCATCAAATGCTTATGAATGCTTGCGTGCATGTTTTATACATACATGTCTCGTAAGTGTTTTTATGCATAAAACGTTTATTTGTATGTTTGTATATACACCTACTATAGACTAATTAATAATTATGGGCACACTGCAGGACTAAACCCAGAATCTCAGTGTGTTCATACCTTGAAGGACACTTTTGACGATGGCATCTGTGTGATCAGCCAGCAGGTCCGCTTTGGCTATTGCGGCCAAGGATAGGTAACTCGACATGTTTCTGCACAGCTCCTTATTGCCCCTCTGGAGAAATTTCACCGCCACTGGGACAGCCAAGGCCATTACTGGAGGTCGATTGTAGTTCTGGAACAACATGAAGAAACACTGAAAAATAAGCAGCTGAAAAAAATTATTAAAATGAAGTCTCCTGCTGATCAGAATTGGAGGAAGAAAAAAACAGGTCAAAAAAGGTTATGTTTTGGTAACTCCACTGAAAAGAGACTTCAAAGAAAGAGCACATAAGGAAACTTAAAACTGCTGCAGCAGGAGATGATGACAATACATCCATTTTTGTATTTTGCAAGAGGAGGAGAAAACACAACACTGAGTGCACTACTTAAACGTTAACCGCTGTAACATTTCTAACTATACATTCTGTTTTGTGCCATCAGAGAACACAGCAGAAGCCGCATCCATTATCCAGACAGAATAGGTAATTTTCACCCCAAAGCACAGGAAATACTTCAGAGCATCACTCCTGCTGTTGACCAGTAAATATTGCTCACCACCCTAGCAGATCCATCGCTGCCTTTCGCCCCAGCAGGGCAGCCCTACCTGCGGGCACAGCATCCAGGCAGCATTTTGCTGCTGCTGCTGCTGTGAGGTTTGCTTCCTTCCCCTGCCCTGCATCTTCCAGTGCCCTGCTGCCCCTGCCCTGCAACACCTACCCTCTCCAGAGGCCATCTGGGGAAATCTCAAAGGCCTGAGCTGCTTTCATGTCCAGGAACGGCATCAGAGCACAGCACAAACACGAGGAAGAAGACCCTAGAACCACACGGTTCTGCAGCACAGGGTCTCCCTTGTATTTGGCATAACTATGATGTTTCTGTCCGAGTTCCTCGTTTGTTTAGTTGTATTCCTCGGAATTTACAGCAAGGCATGAATATGGCAGCCATGTGTGATGACAGCCCAAAGCTGTAACTCAAAACCTTCCAGCACAATTCACGGAATATTGAGAGCTCTTTTCAAATTGCAGCTCCAAGTAAGTGAAAACAAAGAAGCCCTTTTTGAAGGACAGGGGGTAGATGTAATTAACTCTGAAATCAAAGGCACACCTGTCAAACGAGGAAAAGAGTACACGTGAGGACGTGTTCTGGAAGGCTTGTTCACAGGGTAACCAACAATTTTCCTCTGATAATTAAGATTTCCTTTCTTAAATTCCAGTCAATTCCTCTGAGCACCAGGGTCAAATGATTTTTTTCCTACACTTGGGACTAGACAGCTGATTTCTGTCCTCAAAATGGCATCGAGCTTCAGTGATCTTAGGGTTACCTGCACACATACTTAGGTTTTGAGATTCGGGTAAGGATTTTCTGCAACTATTTGTGTGTGCAAAATTGTGTGCACAGATTATAAACATCTATTACCTGTTATGTTCCCGAGGTAAGTTACCTCACTGCTCTTGAAACGAGCAGGACATATTTGTTTACGTGCAATTGAGGCTCTACATTCTCTCTGAAACCTCCTTAATCAGTGCTTTTCTCTCATCTTCACTCAGTTTTGAATATCTCTTTGAAACCAGAGTATGTCGTTGTTTTTGAAAATAGTCCTGCAATATGATTAGATTTAATTAGCATCTGAA